CGGTATTCTCCTGCTCCTCTGACATTGCTACACTAAATGATGTTTCCTGCAATGATTTAATACGTTTTGTTTTCTCGAGATCTCAAATTAATTATCTCGTTATCACGGGAAAACAGGTGGAATAAAATGTATGTATGTATGACCCTTTAGGGCTTCCGTACGAATCCAGTGATGATGTAGTCTACACATTTCATTTATATCATATTTAAGGCAAAATGTAAACTAAACTGTTTAAAAGTTTGCAGTTTTAGTTTCTCCTGTCACACAAGTGGGACAAATTCTCAGATAAAGTGACTAAACTTAAATGTGAATGTTGTTGTTGATTAGGAATTTAAAACGCGTGGTTTGATTTATATTGACCTTCATACCTTGCACAAGGAGAGGGACATTCCCTTCTTTCATTTTGTATGCTTCATTAAAACCAAACTACCTCCACTGTTGAAGCTCTTTTTATACTCTTAGATACTTTTGGACTAGACAATAGTTCATTCAGTTCAGTGTGAATTCTGTTTATACATTTGTAGTCTGCATATGTACTTCTGAATAAATATACATCTTTTAAAAACAGTTTTCAACCTCTGCTGAGTCTATCAGGCACCTCTAGAGTGCAGCATTGTTTTCTCCCTCGGTAACTTGTGACTCAGGTTTACTCACACCAAAGCATTGTGTGTGGGGGTGTGGTGTGAGGGGGGACTCTTAAGGAAACTAGGGGAAATTCCTTGCATTGTTCCTCTTTCCATCCTGCCCACACTCCAGCATTGTTTGTCAAGTTTCTACTTGTTTTGCTTCAATTTTAAGTCAGAAAAACATTAAACCCAAGAAATAGAACAACAAATATAATAATTTCCCTAAAAGCTTTAAAAATATATATAAACATATATTTAATAATATAAGATCATATTAAGTGATGCCTTAGAATTACAGTCACGCAACCATCCCAAAAATAGTTTTCTGGTCAGGCATGATTAATCTGTTACTTCTCGTATTACTGATCCGGCGCATGTGGTGGATGTGATGCTCATGGTAGTGGTTTCACGTGCCAGTAGTTTTGTCGCATTGGTGTGGAATGCTGTTGTTGTACTTCCCCAAGAAACGCTGTTTCCTCTCAGGCCATTGTTCATGGGCAATCAATGAAATGACATGAGTGTGTGTGTGTTTTGGGGGGAGGAACAGATGAAAATGGGGAGGCGGTTATTGTACTGAAGAGAAATTAAGAGAATTTGAATCTCCTACTCTTATGATCATATGGCTTGCTTTTTTATATATATATATGTCATTTAATTCTATGTAATCCTAATTTTATTTGATGCTATGATATCAACTAATACAACTAGCTTTGTTTGCGGTTTTTATATTGTCAACAATATGAATGACGCCTTTTATTAGTCCATGAAACTCAATATTGAAATGTTTTCTGACCCTTCAGGCAACACCACAAACACATTGAGTTTTGTGTTATCGGAAAACTGGGAAACTTGCATTTATGAAGCCTGGTGATTATTTGCTTAAAAGCAAAAAAAATGTTGTCAATCAATTAATGAATTAATGAATTTGTCACCGGTTGGTTCCAAGGGTAATATCCTTTAGTGTGAAATACTACTACCACTACTACTAGTAGTACTACCACCACTACTACTAATAATAATAATAATAGACTTTACATGGATAGCCCTTTTCTTAACAATGTCACAGAGTGCTTGACAAGGAAGAAACAACACCACACAGGTTGAAATAAAATAAAACAAGAGCATCAAATAAATAGCATTAGTTATAGTAAATTACAGCCAATAAAGAAATAGTGTGTGTGGAGAACTTGTTTGTGTGTGTGTCTGTGTGTGGAGAAATTGTGCGTGCGCGTGTGTGTGAGAGGAAAACTTGTGTGCGCGCAGTGTTTACGGTAAAGCCGCTCTCTGGCCCCGCCCTCTGTGTGTTAGAAAACTCGGTGATGTCGCTTCGTCTTTAACGAGCTTGACCCAGAAGCCGGAGAAGGAGGGGGAACCGAGGGGAGCCAAACACACCGAAACACCGAACAGTCTGGAAGGCGTCAGGACGGACTTTCCACAAAGCAGGTGAGTTACATCTGGAGACGGTCCCAGGTGTTCGGTGGCCCGGGGCCCGCGACGTTTCCTCCCCGCTCACAGATACTCGGTGCACTGCAGCGTTGGCAAGGAGTGGTCGCATCGACACATCAGAAACACGACTCCCAGGCTAACGCTAGCTCCCGTGCTAACCCAAAGTTCAAACCGTGTTCCGCGGCGGTGCCGTTGTCTTACCCGTGACCGCTGACTCCAGCGGGACCTCGACACCAAAAGCTAACACAGACAATTACTTCTAAATTAGCTTAAAAGGCCGCTTAACTGAACACACGCCAGGTCCAAACCCCCGTGTGTGCTAATCTGTGTTTGCTATGCTAACGCTAGCCCGCTGCTCGGCTATGTGGGTTATTGTGATGCTAACGTAGCAAGACAGCCAAACCAGGTCACACGGGTGCTGGGCAAGCGTTGTGGCCAACCGGGGCTGATTCGATCCCCTACGTTGTCATTTATCTGGACCGTGGCGTTAGCAAAGCCACCGGTTGAATACACGTCCTGAATGCGGGAGTCTTTGTTCGGGAGAGTCGTTTGATATCAGCGTGATTTTGTCGCTGATTGTGGGTTTAAGCTAACGCTGCCAAACTCGGCGCCCCATGCCCCAGATTGATGCATGGCGTTAGGGGGGAAAATCAATTCACGACCGCGTGTGGGGTTTTGATGGTTAGATGCTCTTAGATAAGTGCAGCCGGCTCCTGGTGGTTCAGGGTAAGGTCTACCAGAGAGCAGCGGGGTCTGGGGATCAACAGGGGGCATAACTGTGTGACGGGGTTATATCGCTGAAGTAGACCGGGCTCAGTTCCCTGGTCATATACATTTCCAGAGGTTTGACCTAGTTAACGTTGCTGTATGTGTTTTGAGGTTTTAACTCGTCTTCCGGTGGCAGACAGACATTCACCAGTAGACTTCCTCAGAGAGCCGTTTAAGGTAAAATGAAACCTCACTTGTCTAGACATGTGCGTTTTGCTGTAGGTTGAGCCAGTTTTGTGTATTTGCTGTACAAGGGAGGTGGTCCAAGTCGTAGTCTGTCACACGCACAGGCTGGGGTGGGAGTTGAAGTTTGTCGGCCTGTGAACCTGTTGGGTGGGTCCTGTGCGAACTTGCTTTGGTTGGAAAAGAAAAGTCTGGGTGGGGATAACTGTCAACCTGAGTGTGAACAAGTGAACTAGCCTTTCTCCTGTAAACAGTGGTGTCATGCAGACACGGATCGCAGTGTAGGTAAGCGTCTTCTTGTCTGGGCTTTAGTATTGTTGTGGTTAATGGTTAGACAGTGTGTGTTTGTAGCACAGTCAGCGCTGCAGGTGCTGCCACTAATAACACCATATGTGACTGTGAACACCCATGTATCAGCCTTTATTCACTGCTCGTCTCCAAGTCATTGTTTGATTGTTGATGCTTGCCCCTGACTGCAATTGTGTCTGCTATGTGTAGGTTCAGGTTAATCCACAAAGGGACTGGTGTGTGTGAGTGTCTCTGCGTGCATGTGAACATGATGTGTACGTGTTAAGTGGATTAGTGGGCTAAAACTTCAATCCACTTTACAATCCACGCTCGGCTTATGTCCATCCACGGTGGCATCGCACCGACATTTCAGTAAATTGCAGTGTCAGTTACCTGGAGATGTGAGAACAAACGTGTGTCCTGACAGGGAATGTTTTGTGTTAAGTCGGGAGTCATTCCTGCTGATGGCAGGTGTGGGCCCTTGCTGCATTAACCAGTGTTTCATTAACTCGACAAGGGCTGCATTGTTGGTTTCATATGTGCACAATGATCACAGATGTCTTTTGACAGGGTTGAGTGAGTCATGCTGACTGATAACTCCAGAGGCGGATGGAGATATGTGACTTGTGGTGTGTCAGGCCCTGATCAGATGTTTGGGGAGTTGTTGACCCCGAGGCGCTGTTGACATTTTGACCGTTTGTTACAGTTATGTTTGGTGAAACTGAAAGAGAATCTTTCTCTGCGTGTTCTTCCCTGCCTCACATTGTTTTTCTGTTGGTCGTGACTTATACACTGGCTTTAGGATATTTAAAGTCTGTGTAGTGAGTGAAGGCTCCTAATCAGCTTGCAGGACAAAAATGATTCAGTCCATCCTTTCAAAGCAGTTTCTGTTCTAGTGCTAAATTTTGTAGCAATATATGTGCTCAATAAATGTCAGAAGAATGTGATAAATCGCCATGCTTATTTGATTTTATCCTGTAATCAGTGGAAACCCCAGACATATTGAATTTGCTGCAATAGAACTATGAGAAACTAAACAAATATTTGTATTTTTGACTTTGGAACCACTAGATATTTCGACTTTTGATCAAAAGTTCCATACATTATTTGGTATTAAAACTGTTGCCAGTAGATTTGACTTTTGCATCAATTGATTTTCAGCCCCTCAAAAATAAGGATTCTGCCGTTAGACAATGGGAACTCTAGAAATACACTTACAACTTATCATGTACAATGAAATTATTAATCAGCGCTGTGGGTTCACAGACTTAAAGCAGAACGGAAAACAGTAGACAGAAAACAATATTAGCAAAATGGGAAGTGGTTTGTGGTCGCATGATCAAGATATTGACAGCGATTTTTTTTTTTAACCATAAAATACAATGTTAATGGAGGAAGCCCAACATGAGGGTGGCCATTAAAGCGTATATCCTATAGGGCCTCATGGGTTCGTGTCAAGTAGTTCTTTTGAAGAAAATGTTTTTTTTCAAGCCAAAGTCACCATTGCGTCCCTTTACTTATTTTTGATGTTGAATCCATAACATCCTGTTTGCCAGGAAGTCGGTTAGAGGTGAACGAGGAGAGAATTCTATGTTCAACGAAACTCGCCGGTGACATTCAAGGTTAAAACCAACAGCTGTTAGAGAGGGAGACGTGCACAGGACAGAAGTCATGCGTGTGTCAGGAGTGACATGAACATTATCCCCACACCCCTCACATGGATACATTTGCACTTAAATGTGGCCAATCATGTTGTCTGTGCTCTAAAAAAAAATTTCACACTTGCGTTCATGTTCTCAGTTGCACAAACTTCTCATTGTTCCAGCAGCCTCCTGGACGGACAGCTGTGAATTCCAGTCTCTGGCTGTGGTTAACACACACACAGAGAATATCATGTTCCAAAGCAAACTGGCCTAGAAATAATAATCTCAGTTTATAATTACTTGTCTATGAATGGTGTGTGGCTTGTGGATAATGATTATATGCTCATCCGACAGTCAGTGTTAACATGTGGTATAAAATGATCATCTAATAGTTTCTGTTTTCTTATGTGTCTCCTCTGAATGGTTATTAGCCAGTGTCCCTCTCAGGTTGTTTTACAGTGGATGAGTGGGTGGGCTGCTGTGCTGAATTGGCAGGAGACAATGCAAGGAATGCAAGATCAGCTTTTATCTTTTATTCAGCACTCCTTTCCTTATCTGTCTCTACCCCCTCTTTCACTCCTGCTCACCCTCTCCTCTCACTCTGCTCCCGTTTTTTTTCGCTGCCAGAGTCTCTGCTTGTTTTATTTGTTTGCAGCTCTCTGACCGTCTCTCTGTGGTGGAGAATACAAGCCCTGGCCTGGCTATGACCATATATAGGCATGTCTGCTACAGGACAGCAGTTTGTGACTGGCTCAGGTGGGAGTTTATGTGCTTGGGGCCCCTGCAGCCACCAAACCCAGCGGTGTGTGTGATGTCATGTCTTCCTGCCAATCAGCCTTAAACATGCAAACCCCGGTTTTAACGCATTCCTTTTTCATGTGAAATTCATTTCAGCCACTCCTTATTTTCTCATCAGGCCATCCCACTTTCCTCCCCCTTTTTTCCCACACTGGGCACACCCCAAGCTGGGATTTTTTCCTCTTCCAATGAAGCATATATGCGCATGTATGTGTTACTCATTCATTTGAAAGGAACTCACAGGAACAGCTGCCGCCTCTGCAGGCTTCATTTGGTCAGTTAAAGGTTATTTTAGGTTTCGTAATACTCCATGAAACAGTGATATCATCACGTCTGCTTTTCTTCTTTGTTTGCACAATCTGAAGCAGGTGAAACTGTGAGTCATTCCTCACCATGTCTCCTTTTCAACTTACTACACCTTTTGCTCATCTGTTGTATGGACTTGTTATCACTCTAGCTGTCAAGCACACAAACATTAAATAGTAAATGCAGGCCCCTGTTTGTTGTCCAAACTTGCAACAAGTCTTTCTGTGCATGTTGGGTAGACTTTGAGAAACTGAAATTTGGTCACCCCTCCTTACCCTACCTTGTCCAACTGGTTATGCAGGTGTGTGTGTGTGTGTGTGTGTGTGTGTG